CAAAAGTATCTAAATAGATTTCCAAATAATTTTTTAAGGTTTTCTAAGGTTTTCTAAAGAGGTTTTGAAAACATTTTTTTTTTACATTTTTTCAAAGGAAATGTCAATGTGTTTTTTTTAAAAAAATAGTTGAAGAATGATTAAGATTTTTTAGGACTAAAATAAAAATTTAGGCGCGTGGTGAGGTTGTGAGACTTTGATTTTGGTTTCGATTGAGTGTGATTCTTTTGATTTTCTTGAGATATTTTTAAGTGTGACATATCCATATATGTTTATTTGAGGATAAATTTGGACTTATAGAAGAACTTTATACATTACGTGATTAGTGAGTTATTGGATAAAATAGAATATTTATGAATACCGATAGATTTCTTATACGCTATACTTTTCAAGGAGATAATTACATCCATGAGTAACAACATCGAGAACAACGACGCTACACCGACGAATGCGGAGTTGGCTCAAAATCTCGGGCAACTAACTCAACTCATTCAGACAGTCGCGAATGTGTTACTTCAGAATCAACTCCAACAACGTCTCAACAACCGCAATGATGTAGCGAAAGTTGTGGCGAAGCGCAATCCCCCATGTTATTTGGGCCAAGAAGATCCTCTCATCCTTGAAGATTGGATTCGCACTTTTGACAAACTCTTTGAGTCTATGAACTGCCTTGCGGATCAACGAGTCGATACAGCTGCATACTACCTACGTCAAGAGGCGGACAATTGGTGGGCCATGACTGGCCCAACACTGCGTCAACAACCCGACTTTTCTTGGGAGACGTTTAAGAAGGCAATGCGAGAAAGATTCTACCCAGAGCACGTGAGAGCTGAGAAGTACGAAGAATTCTTACACCTGAAGCAAGTAGGTATGACCGTCCAAGAGTACCACGCTAAATTCTTGGAGCTCGCACGATTTGCACCTGCCTTAGTTCCCGATGAAATTGATAAAACTAACAAATTTATACGCGGTCTAAACTTTGAGACACAAAAAGCTCTTTGCGTTTCAAATTGCCAAACTCTGAACGAGGCCTACGTCAAAGCTGCCAAGCACTATCGAGTGAAACAACTGCAGAAGGAAACAATGAAGATGACAAGGAAGGGCATCAAAGAATAAAGCAAACAAGGAGGCAAACGGCACAAGTTAAATCAACCACGGGAGACCCGAAATGGGAACAAGATCAACAACCAAGGCCAAGACCAGATGCGTAAGAAGAAGAACTCCATTAAACAGATGCACTTCTACTGTATGAAATGTGAAAAGGGTCACCCCGGGAAATACTGTGATGGAACGCTCGTGAGCTGTTTTCACTGTGACAAGCTAGGTCATAGAGTGTTCGAGTGCCATTCCAAGAAAAGGGGATTACCTCCAAATCATGGCCGCCGTCGTCAAGGAAAGAATTACAATCGCAATGAAAGAACTTGAGAATAGTAGGTGAGACCGTTTAAATTTCTAATTATTAGTAGTAGTAAATCTCTTTGGCAAACATGTATCATTATGATCTTGGACGAATAAATTATTTTCTTCAGTAAGTTGAGTGCTTCGAGGATGAAGCATATTTTTAAGGGGGTAGAATGTGACACCCCGAAAATTGAACTAAAATAAAATTGACTAATCATAATTTATCTCCAAAAAAATATATTAAAGATGAAAGTAAAGAAATAAAACAGTACATACTCATATAATTTTGTAGCCTATATAAATAACGTAACCTTATAATACGAAGACAGTAGTCACTACTACATAGTACGTTACTACGTACATAATATGGAGTAATAATAAAACCTACATATGAAGTATACACATCTCCACTAAATATACACATAAGATACATACGAAGTATTAATATTAAATAAAAGTAAGATAAATATACCAAGAGATTGACCTGCCATATACATACTATATACATACCATACATAACATCCTACCTACATACGCATACGAACGAAGGATCGAGAATTCTGGGATTTTTAGCGTAGTCTTAAATGAAATTTAAAACGGGAGAAATTGTAACGGATGAACCTAGAACTTTCGATCACGTATACAAATAGTTGCGATCACCTGCACCAAAATAAACAAACATGTCTAGTGCTATACACCATATATACGAAGGAGACAGCTGCGCTAGAAACGAAGGCCGCTAGAGTTATACAGACCGCCGGACTGTGTCGCCAGAAAAGGAGGAAGACGAACAACCGCCGGTCACAGCCGAACGACTTCTGGCAAGTGTTACCGGAGCAAAACAACCTCGCCGCCGGAAGAAGAAAATAGCATCGCCGGAGAAGGGGGTCGTGGGTGATCGCCGGACGAGTCACCACCTGCCTATCTTCTGTTGATGTCAGGAAGGCTAAGACAAAGAAACGAATGATGGAGACGTAGAGAAGGAGCGTGCCGAAGTGCTGTAACCAGACCCGCCGGACTGCTTCACGTCGAAGAGAAAGATTCTGTCGGGAGAATATCCCAGGATTGTCGCCGGACATCTACGCCTGGATACACGCCGTTGATGATGAAGCGATGATGGAAGGACCGCAAGAGCTGCTGCAAACTCGGACGTCCATGCGTCGACGGTAAAGTCTGGAGAAGATGACGATTTCCCTGTGTGTACGTAATTCATGCACTCCGTATTACTCCGTATGTTTTATGTTGTTGGGCTGGGTTGGTTTAATCAATTGGACTGTACGTAATAATATCAGTTAGTTTGGCCCGAGTATTATTGTAATACCCGAGATTAATTTAAGAGGATTAATAGTACTACTCATACCAACAAGGTGCATCTCCTTTTAAGGGAGCTCATCACCCAAGAACTCCAAAGTTAAGCGTGCTTGCACAGGAGTAGTCTTGGGATGGGTGACCCCCTGGGAAGTTTCTCAGGGCGCGCACGAGTGAGGACAAAGTGCGCGGAAAAGGCTAGTGGCGGTTTGTGAGGGCAGTACTAGAGGTCAGAAGTAACTACCTCGGGGCCTACGGGGCCGGGGTGTTACAAATGGTATCAGAGCAACCCTGCGACAGTGTGTTGACCCGTTAGATATCGGGCAGGCACTTAGCGGGGCAAGATTCTAGGGTTTGATTGAGTGTTAAGGGCGCAACGAGGACGTTGCGATCCTAAGTGGGGGTGATTGTAATACCCGAGATTAATTTAAGAGGATTAATAGTACTACTCATACCAACAAGGTGCATCTCCTTTTAAGGGAGCTCATCACCCAAGAACTCCAAAGTTAAGCGTGCTTGCACAGGAGTAGTCTTGGGATGGGTGACCCCCTGGGAAGTTTCTCAGGGCGCGCACGAGTGAGGACAAAGTGCGCGGAAAAGGCTAGTGACGGTTTGTGAGGACAGTACTATTGGTCTAGAGTAGCTACCTCGGGTCCTGCGAGGCCGGGGTGTTACAATTATGTTGAGTTCTGGACAGTTGGACTAGGCAATACTCATACGTAAAAGTAGTGAAAATAAAATAATAATAATAATAATGAGTCAAATGAATTGGTTCCAGAGAGGTTGATAAATTAAATAATGGATTGAGACCAAATATTGTCGAAACAATTAACTCATATCAGGGAAAATTTTAAGTAAAGAATAGATGAATTTAACATAATGCGATATTGATTTTAGAATTTTAATATCCTTAGAAGGTGAATTGAGTGAAGAGCAAGGTAGAAGATTTTTCCTAGAGTGCTTCGAGTTTTAGGTAAGTTTCACGTCAATCAAAATTATACTTTTCCTCTTAAGTCATTTTTGAAATTATTTGATTACTTTATGAGATTTCTAATATTTACATTTGAGTATTTGAAATTTCTTATGGATTGTTATTGAGAATTATATTTGAGATTTGAATATTGGATATTGGATGATATTTTGAGTATTTGAGATGTCTTATGAATTGTTATTGGGATTATATTTATGAAGTATTTGACTCTTTTGTGAAATTATATTGTATGGGATTGTATGACTCTTTTCTGTAAATTTATTAGCTAGGTACAGTTCATGCCCAACAAGACGTCATTGGAACGAGATCAAGCAAATATTCCGTTATCTACATGGTACAGTTGATCTCGGCTTATTCTACCACAAAGATGCAAAAGCTGCTTTAATCGGATATGCAGACGCTGGATACTTATCAGATCCTCAAAAGGCGAAATCACAAACCGGGTACGTATTTACTTATGGTAACACCGCAATCTCACAGAGATCTATGAAGCAGACATTGACAGCTACATCATCAAATCATTCGGAGTTAATTACATTATATGAAACCGGAAGAGAATGTGTGTGGCTGCGGTCTATGATTCAACACATCCAAAATGAATGCAATATGAAGCCTATTACTTGTCACCCGATTGTGATCTACGAATACAACACTACGTGCATAGCTCAGATTAAAGAAGGCTACATCAAAGGAGACAGAACGAAACACATATCACCAAAGTTCTTCTCTACTCATGATCTGGAGAAAGAAGGGACGATCAACATTCAACAAATCAGATCCAGTGAAAATCCGACTGATTTCTTCACCAAGTCATTGCCCCCGAAGAAGCTCATAGAACTTGTACAGAAATTCGGCATGCGACGCCTTCATAATTTATGCAAAATTGAGAGGGAGTATTTGAATGCACTGCACTCTTTTTTTCATTCATCAGGTTTTGATCCCACTGAGTTTTTTCTGATAAGTTTTTTAACGAGATAGTACGTCCAAATACAATGACATCATAAGTCATAATTTCACCCCTTAATCTTCACGATAAAGTTTTAAATACAAATAATTATTCTCAAGGATGAACATTCAAGGGGGAGTGTCGTAAAATCCAAAAAATGACAAGTGTGAATTGTTCATCCTTCTCATCATCCTTGTAAACAGGACACTGAACTTCTTTCTATCCTTGTAATCATAGATAAGCATATGACTAGGTTTAATAGTGACAGCAAAATATGTAGAAGTAGTCTTTTATGATTCATCATGAAGCCCAACTAGTATAAATATGGCTTGATCAAACCTTTGTAATGTAATTCAGAAATTCAGAAAATATTTAGATATTTAAAAGTAATTTAGAGGTTTTTATCTATATATATCTATCTCTTGCTCTCTACCTGAGCTTTTTTATCAACATCCGGTCCATCCCTGAAAACACAAGCTCTCTTAAAACCCATTTTTTTTTTACCGTGGCTTCTCGTTTCAGACCTCCACTCCCGTGGATTTCCCTAGCGATCGTTCCGGCACCGGTTCATTTTTGGATTTGTATGCTTCTCCGACTCTACAAGTAAGCTATTGGCCATGGCATATTTATTGGTAGACCCATACATGTGCCTTTTAGACATATTCAACAAATGCATATAGGTACATGATTCGCAGTTCATTCAATGAAGTAGGTAAGGTAAAATTTGGAAGCTCCATTTTTAAAGAATTGATAGTGCGCTTCAAGTGGGTAGCTAGGAGCTCAATTCTACTAGGGTTATTTGTTCCTGCAGTGTTAGTGACTAGTTTACTGTGTTGATTTTTTTAGTGTATGTGAGTTTTTACCTGAAGTTAGGAATTTGGAGTCTTTTTAGGCTTCGTTTGGAAAAAACATGACACAGAATTTGTTGAAAAGAATTTTTTGGAGGAAAGCACAGAGAGATACTCAAACTAGATTAATCAAGTCTAGGACATCTGCCACCTGAGACTAGTTTAAATAGTTGAGTTTGAGCTTGTGAGCTGTATCCCCGAGGTCACGGTGTAAAAAATAAATTGAGCCTGGGAAACTTAAATACATGTAAGATCAAGTAAAAACAACAATTTCCCAATTACATTTCTCCCCTTCTCAATTATTTCAAGGGCTTCAAATGGAACCTCTCTCCATGTGTGTGCTGTATGTGAGAGAGAGGGAGGGAGAGAGAGTTAGGCTTGATCAGTCAAGTTCTCAAAGCTTTACTGGATCTTGACTTAGCAATACTGCATTATGTTTTGAAGTGGCTGCTTAGAAGACTTTGAGTTCCACCATCAACTTGACTCTATAGGAGAAGTAACCTAAACATTTATATGTTGGTTCATATCTGTATATTATATTAGATGTGGATGAATTAACCACTGGCAACAGGGCAAAAAGGATTGGGGCATAACAAATTGAATGGTTCTGGAGTGAATATATTCTTTCGGCTTGTACATGCATATATCATGGGATTGACAAGATTTATGCGTCCAAAGGGAGGATGTAATGAATCAAGTCCCAACCTTTATGTGGCTAACTGTGGACCAGCCGTCGGGCTCTCATTGGATGCTATTGTGTTGGTGTTCAGCAAATATGGTGATATCAGGGGAGTTTATCCAGCCGATGAAAGTGGCACTCGTGTAATTGTGTCTTATCATGATAAGACTTCTGCACAATCAGCGCTGGAAGCTTTGGACGGACACCCATGCCCTCATCTTGGAGGACGTTGTCTGCATATTCGCTATTCTGTACAATCAGTTTCTAAGGTGAAAAATTTGACCTTTCATGATTTTGTTGCCTCATGTGGATCTACATTTCCCCTCTTTCATATTATGCACCTTGTGTTCATGCATCTCTAGAAATGGAAGGAAGGGAAATTTGTATGAGTATGGATTTGGTTTTGGTTTCATCTGAGAATAGATTTAATTAAACATCATATAGCATTCCAAATCTTAGCCAACCAGTGTCTTGAAGTTAGCTCTTTTATTTCATTGGGGTTTGATAAGACTGAATTCCTTATCAGGCTAAAGTCAATGAATCATTTGTTGTGTCTTTGGAAGCCTCCGAGTTGAAAATTCCTGGTGTTTACTTCATTCCAGATTTCATTACTGCTAAAGAAGAGCAGGTAGGGTTTTTCGTTTATCAATCGGAAAACTATGGTGGTTTCTTCTCACAACATTTATATATTTCGTATATCTCAATTGGGTGCTATCTGAGTTTGGCATTCGGAGCCGAGGCTACAACCGGGGGCGGAGCCCAGGGTGGTCAACCAGCCTTTCTGAAAGTTTGAGCATGTAGAGCACTAAAATATATTCAATTTGAAATATTATAGCTCTCGTAACTCATTACGAGCAAAAAGTTATGACTCTTGGAGTATGTGCAATCTGAATTTGAAATGGGTAAAATTTTCATATTTTAAATAATTTTTTATTAATAAATTTATTGGTCAAACTTGATCACCATTGACCATGAAAAGTCAATTTGGCCAATCTTTTTGGGATGGAGGGTGTATGTTTTATTCACTCATTTGTCATGTGAAATTTATAATATACTCCCTCCGGTTCTGAAAGATGTTTACACTTTCCATTTTTAGCAGTACCAGAAAGATCTTTACACTTCCTTATTTGCCTTATTTGGCAAATAAATCTACACAAAACAATGCCAAACAGTGCCAAACAGTGTCAAACAGTGCCAAACAATGTTTATTTCCTTAAAAACTGTGAAGTCAAAGTGTCAAGATCTTTTGGAACCGGAGGGAGTATTACATATACATCAAACCAATAACTCTTTAGATCTCATTTAAATTAACATTTATCTGAGCTACACATGAAATATTCAACTCAAATATTCTTAAGGATGATCCATCCCTTTGACCCCCGAGACGTTTTCCTGGCTCCGCCATTGGCTAAAACAACATGTTAATTAGTTTCTACCCAAGGTCACATAAATGAAGGGCCTCAAAGTCCACTAACCTTCCTTGTACTGATTTGATTTCCATCATACTTTAAATACTAATTTCCGAAGGCTTAGGATGTTTTCTTTTGGACTGTTTTCAGTCCCAGATCAGACCATACTTTCATAGTTACTCTGTATAAAATACACAGAGACCAGAGTACTAGACATTTACCAGATCAGTTCAGACCAGATCAGACCAGACCAACAAATTTCAGCCGAAAAGAAAACATCCTTACATTGCACGGAGACTTGGGGAAACGGAAAATGTCATGTTTTAATAGAAAAACAAGTGTTTGGAGAGTTTCTAAAGAGCTTCCTTAGAGTTTCCGAAATGGTAAGACACACTTTCCCAAGACTTTCTGTGCTTCATTGGCAAAGGCAGACAATAAGGGATCAGTATTCGCTAGAGAAAAGAAAGCTTAATGCTCTTTGAATTCATTGGCCAATTTGGCCCCAAAGTCTTTTAATTTATAATTAAGAAATGAGCTTATTTTTATCTATAATGAATTAGGGTAGCTGCACCTTCACATACCCTATTTGAATTCTTGGAACTACTCCTTTCAAAGCTTTTTTTGTTAAATTGCTTATAATGTGGGAACCTGATTTTCTCATGTTGAACAGGACCTCCAAAATCTAATATCCGACCCTGCCTTATCTGACCGGATTATCTTATGATTTTTAATGCAATTGCACCTGAATGTATAGGAACTCCTTGCTGCTGTTGATAGTAGACCTTGGCAAAATCTTGCAAAAAGAAGGGTTCAACATTATGGTTATGAGTTTTGTTATGATGTAAGTTCCAATAGAAGTACATTGCTTTGACCTTTTCCAATTGCATAGAATCCACCTTTCTTCTTCTTCTTCTTCTTCTTCTTCTTCTTCCTACAAACGGTTGGTTATTCTATTGGGTGGGTTTGAGTGATGAAATCCCTCAACAATGTGTGTATTTAAATTCCTGTCTTTTACTGCTATAGATAAGAAATGTTAACACAAGCCATTACTTGGGTGAACTTCCACAATTTGTTTCTCTGGTACTCGAAAGAGTATCTTCCTTTCAGAAGCTAGGTTACACAGGAAGTGTAGTTCTGGACCAGTTAACGGTAAGTTGTATTTCTCTACTATTAATAATTAACATCATCTAATTAATATTTAGTACATCACACTGTCATTTATCATACATCATCCATCAATAATTTGCAGTTTGTGGTTTTTAAGATTGAACGATGATAATTAGATCAGTTTTACCAACTAAAATTTACATTTTCAGAAATACATTGAAATATGATAAATTGATATTCTAAATAAGTAAATAAAACCAAATTGTGTTGACCAACAAAACTAGAAAAGTAGACTTACATTTTGAGAGGAGAGAGTATATTCATACATAATGTTGTTCAATTAGTAAAGCACTAAATTTATCTTATCATTACCACAAAATTGACTGGACTCACTGCTGTATGTTTAATATTTGTTTCATAATGTTTTAAAAAAGTTTAATTTTTCATCAAAATTACGCATCACATAGACGCATAATCACCCATAAAAGCATACTAATACTTAATGTGACCTGTAACAGGTAAATGAATATCCACCTGGAGTGGGTTTGTCTCCACATATAGATACCCATTCTGCATTCGAGGGGTTAATTTTCAGTCTTTCATTAGCAGGGCCTTGTGTGATGGAATTCAGGAAGTATCAAAAAGGTGTTTGGGTGACAAACTCTGAATTAGCATCTCATGGAGAGATGCAAGACTGTGACAAGATGACCTCTAGTTTTTTGAGAAAGGCTATTTATCTTCCCCCACGATCGATGCTATTATTATCTGGGGAGGCACGCTATGCTTGGCATCATTATATTCCACACCACAAGGTAATCTGGCTTTAAAAAGCTTCTTGAATTATTGATTTTTCTCTCAAACTTCAATTTCATTGCTTATACTTCCTCCACAAAAATGCCTTGTTTCAGATATTCTTTTATCGTATCCCCAAAAGAGTTCTGATTTAGTGTTTTATCAGACAAAGCTAATTTTTCATGTAATTTGCTAAAATATGTCAAAAAGAGTCACATATAAGATCGAACATGTAAAAGTTATAACATGTAAATGAATTTGAATTAAAAAATGTTAGTATGATTTCATGACAGTTGTACCTTTACTAACGTGTAAAAGTTGTAATTTGTCAGATACTCAGATGTGATTTATTTTGTCAGAGCCTCAGAGGAATACATTATATCAAGTTCACGCCATTATATTCCACACTGCATGCAATTTTTGCTACCCACGTTTCATTTTCACGTTTTGATTTTCTTTTCTGAGTTTTCTCTCATCAAGCTTTGTGAAGTTGAGTTTTACTATTTTTCCCCCTCCCACTGATGTGTGTTTCTAATATCTTTGCTGCAGGTTGACATAGTGAAAGACAATACAATCAGACGGGCACCAAGGAGAGTATCATTTACACTGCGCAAGGTATATTTATGAGCAGATCGGTATTGGATTCTTGTGCTTAAAATTGAAAAGCATGCATGCTTGAAACAATTCCTGACTTGAACAAATTGTTCTCTCTCTGATCCCATTGACTATTTCGAAGTGGTAGCATCTACAAGTTTTCAAGTATATGTAATCTTTAAGGTCCATTCGCATCCCAGAAAATGCCAGAGAAGAATTTTCAAACTAAAAGTTGTGTTGTTATGTTTGTTCTAACCTTGGAAAATGCAAAGGTAAATCAAATGTAATTATTTGTTTATTTATCTTTTACATATTGAGATTTCTTAGTTTTACACAATAAATTTAATAAATAATAAATTTAATAAATATAATGGGCATCAACAAATACGTAAAAGAAAGTTAATTTAGTTTTAGCCTATCTTTTAATTTCACAACCATTTCCTTTCACTCGAATCTTCATGTGTATTCCTTCAAATTTTATTTCCGTAGTCTTTTCTAGGATCCAAAAGACCCTCAAGGTTAACCATGATCTTTTTTCCCTTGACATGCAGGTCAGGGAAGGACTTTGCGAATGCAACTTTCCTGCATACTGTGATTCTCAGAAATGCCATGCAGAATAAGTAGGTTGGTGAAACCTTCCTATTTTTATTTAGTTCATGGGGTAATTTCCGTGGAGACAGATGCGGCTGCATGAATTTGAATAAGCAGAGGCAGTTTTTGCGAAGTCCAAACGTTGTAGTAATTGAGTTTGACTTGGTCAAGGGAGATGCATTCACATTTTTCTTGGAAAACAATTATTTTATTTTACTTAACTGCAACAGCAGACCTGATGTAGCATTCAGCTTATTTTCAGCACACTGAATGAACTGTTGATTGGGATTTGATGCAATTACTTTTTTCATGATCTTTATGGCCGGTGTGGAGAGTTCTTATAATCTTACCTACCATTTGGTATGGTGTAATGAAATCCAATGTGCAATCCATTATGATTTACTCCGTATAATTTATCAAACACTATTTTAGTTATTGCTTACAGCGTACAAAGAATTAACTTTATTGATTGAAATGAAACAATCCTCTTCTCAAATACGTAGTAACATTTAGTAGACAGTAGGTATACACATGTATGATATGCTCTACTTTTTCTGTATATGGCTAAATAAGAAGAAAGCATGCACTGAGTTCTGTGCAATGGCTTTTCCTTTATTCTGAATAAATACACTGAATAAATAAATAATGATTTTTTTTGCTTTCTTTCTTTGAGAATAAAAAAATCTTGTAAAGAATGCTTCTTTCAGAAGATTTAAATGAACTATATTATGCTGCTGCTATACCAATTGGTTGGATGGAGTATAAAAAATACGGTTGTGACATGTGGTGTCACAAGGATAAGGGCAATCGATCTTCTGAAATGCATCTCTGTCAAAAAACCAGTCACCAACTGCTTTTGCTATTGTCTACATCATAACAGGGGGTTTCAGTGAAGAGTCAAAGCAAAGTCAAATCAGTTTCAGTAAAGAGTCAAAGCAAAGTCTTAACAGGTTAGTTGTTTCTTTTTAATGTGTACCTTGTTTTCCAATCTTGGAGAGTCATTTCTGAACCACGTTTCTTGCACTTCCGTTTGGCAGTGAGCAAAGCATGAGTTAATAAAGTATCCTCTTGATGAAGAAGGGACTAGCCCATATGATAATGCCCTCAAGAACTGCCATCTATAACCTGAAAAAAGAAATGTCTTAAAAGCATCAGAAACATTCATTCATCTCTTACGAGCACAATTGTGATATGACAGGCTCACAAACTTGATGCCGCGACAAAAAAGAAACTCATCATTGACAGAAACTTGCAGATTTGACCTTGTCACAGTTTACGCAGAACACTACTCCTACGATGTAACTACTTTGTAGGTGTTCTAGTCCAACTAGATAATAATAATTATAATAATACATTAATCATAATGGGAAAATGAACAATATTGTTTTTTCTGAAATTATGATTCTTCCGCTCATAAAAGAAGAATATTACACTACTTTTGTTCTGTTAATGCTGTATCAGTCCTACGTTTAGCACAACACAAAATACTCCTTTTGTGCATATGACTTGTGTGTTTACTCTTTTTCGCATTAATTTGTTATAGTTAATGTCCATTTGCTTGGCGCTTACCTTGCATTATATGAAGCTGACTCGATGTACAGTTTTTTATGTCTAGTCTGCATTTGCGCCATGTTCCATGGGTATCAGCAACCTCAGGAACCAAAATGTTTCTTATCTGCAAGTTTACCATAGTGGAGGAGTCAATTTACTGCAATATCTCTTTCTAAGAATGTTTGGTTACCCTTAAGGTTGGTGTTTATAGTAATAACCTGCCAAGAATCGTAGGCTGCATTTAATATGAACAGAGGTGTCCGAACATGTTGCACCACGTTTTGAGGGAAAAAACACTGCAATGTTGTTTGTAAGTGTTGGGCGTGAGATTCAACAACACATACACAAGTACAAACCAAATGGTAGCAGTGAATTCTTGAAACTGATTGCTCTTACCAGATTTGGCTGATTCATTCTTAAGGTACACAATGGAGGCAAATTCTTGGCTGATCCCTGAATCCAATAAGAGGATGAACAGAATATTTACCACAGGAAACTCATAGAACCATATATTTACTAAATACAGATTAAAGGTAAGAAGAAGAAGAAGAAGAAGAAGCACACATGTGTTCTAACAATGTCATTGAAGAACTGCTCAATATGTGGTGTATGAGATATGTCCATTCTGTCAACAAGTCATCCACATGTTAGCCCGCATGTAATGATTTACTGTTTGGTCAGAGTTATTTGGTTGAATGTGTTGATTTTTCTTCTAGGAAATTTATGCGGTAACACATCTTTTGGCACAATAAGTAAGTCAAAAGCTGCGCATTGAATAAGTAGAATAAGATGTATGAAGCTACCAACCAGAGCCCAGGTCATCTTAGTATCTTACGCGTTAATAAAATATCCCCCGTCTGATAAGCACTTGATTTTAGCACCCGTTGGGAGGAGGGCATTGAAGCTGTCACAGTGAAGAATTGAGGCCAATCCTCCAGCTGAGCATCCAGACAATATAGCCTACATCACAGAAGATTTCATTTGAGTAATTTTGCGTCGTATAAATATGAAAACATACTCCACCCAATCATACTTTTATATTTCAGTAAAAATGAAATTCTTTTATGAGAGTAAGAGAGTTGTTAAAAAATACTCCCTAACATATCCATACAATTTCATATTATAAAATGTTATGTAAAAAACTACTGATCAAGGGCTCAACATCTTTGACAAAAAGTCAAATGTTGCCTAGCTTTTGAGGCACTAGGCCCCATAGTCATGGACCCTGGTCGACCCGGTCCCGATTCTGGGCTGAGACCACTTGGTCCTTGCAAATATGGTCATGTTCGGGTCCTACCTGAGTACCTGTATAATTCTAGGTCTGGGTTGGTTCTGGGTACTTGGGCGGTCCAGTCTCCCTTCCATGTCCGGTTCCAAGCAAAAAAAATTGTCGATCGAGACCAAAACTGGGATCGGGTACTCGGTATTCGCCAATAACCGGAAAAACGGACCCAGTCCGATCATGCACAGTGGCGTACCGCCTGATTGGGTCCACGCCTAGGCCCCACACATTTGCTCATTGTAATTGGTAAGAGAAAGAGAGAGCACAAACATTTTCCGCATTCTTCATTCCTTTATTTAATAAATCCTCCATAACAGCAAGAAAAACTCTTGCGCCTCTGAAGTGAAGATTGGTTTTCTGTATAGCATAATAATTCAACAACTAAGATGATTAAAGGGCCATTCCATAATCTCCTTCAATTCAAAGCATTTGGTTCTATAGTTCTATCAATCACATACGTACAGGATTGACTGCATCAACATCACCAGTAAAGGAAGATCCATCACAATATCTAATTTTGACTCTGTTCCAATTGTAGAAATCTGTTGGTTTGAACAAGATGGGGCCCATTTAAGAGAAGCTCCTCCATGGAAACAACACTAAAATGGGAAAAAAGAAAATTAAAATAATAATATAAATAACTTACCTGGATTGAGTTGAGGGTTGTTGCCTAGGAGGCCTGAGAAAGGAAGGCGCTTTTCCATACGAAGAGAGGATCCCAATTGAGTATTCTTTCGTGAAAGGCAAGTGGTCTCATTATTGCACCATCCTCCTCCCTAGAGGCACAACTTATACACATATAAATATGTTAGAACTTGGGAGACATATAAGACACAATATTGAAGCAAGATAGTGGAATCAGCACAAAAAAAGGGGGAAGTTGTCTTATTAAAAGAGGCGTATAATATATACTAGGTACAAAAGAAAAAATGTCTCAGAATCAGAGTTAAGTTGAATTATGATCATAATAATATGGTCAATTGAGTGTGAATCTAAACTTGTACATGTATGTTTATTACAAGATAGTGGACAAAGTTTGTAATGTTGTGGCTATTAGGACTTTGTAGCCTTGGGTTTTTCTTTGGGACACAAATCATGAGTATATAAGTCAATACCTCTAGAAATGATATTTAGAAATATGTATGAGTATATATAAGTCAATACATTTCAAGATAAATTAACTCTGAAAAGATAAGTTTTCTCGTTTCACCGCTCTAAGAGGCCAATAATAACATTTAATAAGAGAGTTCAAGAACCATAAATTTTGGACCTATAAAATAACTCCAAAGTTAGTGCATAGTATTAAAATTTACTCCGTATTTTTTAGAAAATATCCTAAAAGTTTTATAAATTGATACTTAAAATTAAATAATAAAATTGAATCGTGTTGATCAAGAAAAGAAATTGCTGATATTATTTTGGAACAAAAGACTTGTATATGATTTTTAGACCGGACTACACTATAAAGTATAGTCCAATTAAAATCCTGAATCATAGGACAAAACTACTACTTCGTATATGAAAACAAATGAAAAAGATAAAAAGTAAATTTGTTTATACCGAAGTACATTGAAAGTAGTAAAACTTTACAGATTAGAAAGATCACCAATAACGAAAAAAACTTGAAGAAAAGAATTAGTGTATATAAGAATTATAGAAATATCACCCATAATGAAAAACTTGGCGTACATTTTTTTGTGTACACATTTGCCACACTTGTCTGTCTACACAGACGAAATTGTCTATCTACGAAATTTAACTTCTATATTGAAATATAGAAGTTGTCTTTGTACAGAAAATTTTTGTGTATAGAGACAAGTGTTCCAGAGATGTACACAAAAAAGCGTACACCAAACATTTTTCTAATAATTTATAAACAATCTGAGAAGCAAACCTCAATTTGGATCAACCAATTGTTGATTCCAGAGTCGAATCCTGGATCAAGATGGTATGCCGGTGGACTCCCATCCAAACAGACTGCTCCTTTGGCCACATGATCATTTCTGACAATGGTGATATTCACCAAGGAACAATGTGTTCTTCTCAAAACAAACATCATCAGAATCACCATTATTGCAGGTACCCATTTTTGCATTGCCACTACTTTCATCATACTACAGAAATGCAATAAAAGATATGATGAAGAAGAAGTCTGATATTTGAAGTATAGAAAGCCACAAAAAATTTAAACATTATAAGGTTTCCCACAAAAGAAAGGAGAAGGACAAAGGAGAATCTATCTGTAAGTACCTGTAATGGAATTTGTTCTGCTCCAATAGAAATGCAATAAAAGATGAAGGAGAAGTCTGATACATTAAGTATAGAAAAAAACAGAAAATTTAAACATTTTGATTAGAAAGATTGAGTTTTTAAGGTTTCCCACAAAAAAAGGAAGAAAGATTAAGAGGAATCTGTCTGTAAGTACCTGTAATGGAATTTGTTCTGCTCCAATATAAATGCAATAAAAGATGAAGAAGTCTGATACTTTTAGTATAGCAAAAAAAAAAACAGAAAAATTAAACATTTTGATCAGAAAGATTGAGTTTTTAAGGTTTCCCACAAAAGAAAGAAGGAGAAAGACATAGAAGAATCTATCTGTAAGTACCTGTAATGGAATTTGTTCTGCTCCAATAGAAATGCAATAAAAGATGAAGGAGAAGTCTGATACATTAAGTATAGAAAAAAACAGAAAATTTAAACATTTTGATTAGAAAGATTGAGTTTTTAAGGTTTCCCACAAAAAAAGGAAGAAAGATTAAGAGGAATCTGTCTGTAAGTACCTGTAATGGAATTTGTTCTGCTCCAATATAAATGCAATAAAAGATGAAGAAGTCTGATACTTTTAGTATAGCAAAAAAAACAGAAAAATTAGACATTTTGATCAGAAAGATTGAGTTTTTAAGGTTTCCCACAAAAGAAAGAAGGAGAAAGACAAAGAAGAATCTATCAGTAAGTACCTGTAATTGAGTTTGTTCTGCTCCAATAGAAAAAAGGGTCAAAGCCCTGATTTCTTGAGGCTTATTATGACAAGCTGCAGAACCAAATGCAGAGCTTAGGATTTCAAGGTTTATGGCTTTTTCTGGGAAGTGACTTTTCGTCTTTTCTTCTTCTTCCTTTTTTGACCGAAAGGAAGTGTCCTTTTTCTAAATAAAGGAGCTTGTTTGTTGCAGAGGTTTGGTGTGGCCGCCGACAGTTCACGGAGCTGTATTTTAGAATTTATCTTATTTTAATCATTTTTAATAATCATAATGAGAATAATATTAATTTATTACTGCCACGATGGGTCTTTATATATCACGGGAATAAACAAACAATTACAACGAAAAAGGACAGAATATATGCTGGATTTACAGCGTTCTCTGTTCCAAATATGGATATTATTTCATACTCCGTATTTCATTTGGTCAAACAAATGTGAAGTCTTTAATCTGAAATTAAAAAAAGAATCATATTTCAAATAAAGAATCTGGTTCTCAATTCTCAATATACTTTATGTATTCGATCATTAATGGTGGCTCGCAAATTAATTATGTTAAATTCAATTATACCAGACAATGAATTTAAAAATGTAGCTAAACTTGATAAGTCAATCGAAATTTACAATTTGTAATAATAATAAAGAGATACTACCTATGTCCCAAAAAATTGTTCCCACTTACCTTTTTGGGATACCAAAAAATTCTTCTTATTTTACTTTTTGGAAAGATTTGTATGACTACCATTCATTTACCTTTTGAGGTAAGGGTCAGATTGGTTCTCGAAATTGCATAAAAAGTGTCAAATAAGTCCTTGTTGTCCGACTGTCGCCATTTGGGGAAGTTCTCGGTTGAAATATTTGATGATTTTTTTGAGCATCTTATTCATTAATTCTAATTTACTCATACCGAATTTCAGCTAAAACTTCAATAGGGAAGACATTCAAATGAATTCTTGAAGGTAACTGCGCTTTTAACTGCGCAGTTATCTTCAAAACTTCATTTGAATGCCTTCCCGATTGACTTTTTAACTGAAATTTGGTATGAGTAAACTAGACTTAATGAATAAGATGCTCAAAAAATTTCAGCAAAAAACTCCACCGGAAACCGCCTAGAATAGCGACGGCCGGACAGAGCCTTCTATATAAGGACTTATTTGACCCTTTTTATGCAACTTCGAGGACCAATCTGACTCTTAACTCTTTACATTTTTCTTACTTAACCACAATCATACATTTACACTTTAATCCCACTTTCTTAAACTCCGGTTCAAGTCAAACTGGGAAGAATTTTCCGAGACGAAGGGAGTAATAACTTAGTTTTTGATACATCGGTGGACTATTTGATTTAGTTTTTGCAATGTGACCGAATTTTTACTGTACTCTAGTACTCCACCTCCCTCTTTTAAATGTCCTTTTAAATTACATATTAAAAATGATGGATAATGTACCCGGGGGTTGCTATCCCGGGGGTTATTATTGTTCCAAAAGGTGGAATCTCCCACCCCAGGAGCCTCCCCACCCGACCCGACAGGATGGTGGGGAGGTTAGTCACGGTGACTCAGTCAGTAGAATGGCAGTAGGCCCATACACCCGTGCGCACCAGAGGCCCAGTCTTATTTCAGGTTCTGTGACCTCCACCCGGTCGCTGCGGGGATTCGAACCTTGGTCCATTGTTCCAAATCTCCCACCACTCGACCAACTGAGCTACCCGTGCGGGTTCCCGTGGGTTATTAAAAATGATGGATAGTGTACTCTAGTACTCCACCTCCCTCTTTTAAATGTCCTTTTAAATTACATAACCTAGAGAGAAGTCAGAGCAAACAAGTAGGAGAGAGAGGCGATTTTTACTAATGAACTCGAGATGTTCTCATCTTTACATGAGGAGTAAGGGCTGCTATTTATAGCAGCAATAAATGCGATGAGAGTACATGTGTCAATAATCTAACGGCCGAGGGGTCACCTCAATCGGGGTGGCACTGACACTTGCATGTGCACCGCATTAAATGCGGTGGGTGGATGTGACGCCGCATTAAATGTGGTGGTTGGCTGTCTCCAAAGGGAATCTTTGATGATTGAGCCTGTTAGCCGAAGGCATTCCACACAGCCGGGGCTCCGTGTAGCTGAAGGCTCTGTATAGCCGAGGGCTTGGTTCAGCCGAAGGCTTCTCTAATGCCGGGGGCTCCCGTTCTCTGCCATTTTATCCCAGTAGCTTCGTATGCTGGAATATGGTTGTTCTGTGAGTTTTGGAGCCTTCGGCCATAGTGCCGAAGGCTACCCGTATGTGCACCGCGGTTCTCCTAGAGCTTGGGCCGCAACATCTCAGCATCTTGGGCCTCCTGCGCTTCTTGGGCTTGTTGGGCCTGTGATAGAGTAGTAGGAGTCTGTGGACCGGGGGTTCCTAGGCCATATACTCCATCAGGAGTCCCTCTGTAACACCGCCCCCGAGTATTTTTACTGTACCAAATTATGTATTGAACCTTGAGAAATGTATAAAAGCATTTTTACGTGTTTGAAAATTTTTCATTTCTATTACGTGAATAGTAAAATTCACGTGGGGCCCACACCGGATGTGGGGACGCCCGATATTATCGGGACCACATATTATATTAATCTTGGACTAGATAATATGAATATGGTGGTGGATATCCTAATTGGGCCATGACAATGGTACAAGGTTGACCGGTTGGTCAAAACGGGCCAAATTATCGGTATCGGGAAATTTATCAGATAACAGCCCAAAAAGGGATTTCAGAGACTTCTAAATTAAAGTTGGGGAATGCATATTGATTCTAAGATCCAATAAGGATTGGGAACAAGTGTTATATTTTATTTGACCCGATAAAATAAAATATACTTAAAACAGTCCGGAAAATACAACTTTCGGCACCGATTGTACACTCGGGTACACAAAGGGTTGACCTCCCACATAAGTGGGGGCCAACCCACGTCCTTGGTCTGGAAAACATCAAGGGGAGCCGCATGGAAGCATGGCAATGGGAGGCTGATTGGTAAGGAGACCAATCAAACCAACCAAGGGCCCCTCCTCACATTATTTTGGGCTATTGAGACAAAAGTGAGGGGTTCCCTCCACCCACCTCCAATCAGTTCGGCCATCCCACAAGAGAGGTGATAGAAGCTCTGCAATACTCCATTCATTGCAGCCATTTACGCACTTGAGCTACGGAGGAAGATGGAGGGGAAAAGAGAAGAGGAAAAGTTAGTTTTGGAGAGGAAAACTTGTGTTTAGCAAGGTAAGGACTCCATTAACCGCATTTCGATTTCTTTAATCATCTTATACGATTATTCAATCATATTTCACACCCTAGGATTGTTCTACACGTTTGGAGGTGTACAATGAGGGGTTGGAAGGTAGTTCTAAGCTCAAGGATGGACTTAGAAGCCAAAGTGACCGGTTCGCCGAAAAATAACCTTTTGGAGGTTATTTGTATTACTATGGGTGTTACGATGATAAAAAGTTGTTAGTAACTTGTCTAAGGTATTCAAGGAACTTTCACGGAGTTGAAAGAGTCGCCGGAGTTGTCGCCGGAGTTCGTTGAAGTTCGCCGGAGTTTCGCCGGAGCTCAATCGTGAAGGCTAGAACTTCATAAGCTTCATTAAGGTGAGAAGACGGCTTTATGCTTTATAAATTTTGTGTGAGGCATGAGATTACCTAAAGTAATAAAAACATGTTTTATGGAATGATTAAGAATAATCAAGTGTTTGCTTATGCCATGATTTTGCATAAAACATAGTTGAAAAGCATGTTATGTAGGTTTGGTGATTAAAAATGTGATAACTTATTATGTGTGGTGTTCCAGGGATCCAAAATGGTATTTTTGGATCAAGGACGTCAAGAAGTATAAGTGTATAAAATTTCACGTTAATCGGACTTCGTTTGGGCGGTCAAACGAACATTGACCGCCAATACGAAGGTGATACCCGACCGGGTATGGGTGAATACCCGACCGAGTTTTGATTGAAAATGGCTCCAGAAGCCACTGCCACACTAGACCCGACCGGGTATGGGTATAGACCCGACCGGGTCTCAAGTAAAGTTGGCTCCAGGGGCTACTGCCGCACCCCACCCGACCGGGGTAAGGTTGGATACCCGACCGGGTATTGGTTTATACTCAAAACCGGCAGTTTTGAGTAGGTTAACGTGGGCCGTTCGGGTGGGACCCGCCCACGTTGGATCCTAAGGATTTTTATATGACTATAGGTCTAGGCATTGTCCATAGTTAAGGGAATGAAAGGTTAGCCATATCCAGGTTAGGATTTGGTAGAGGATAGACTGGGGATTGAGTGCCCTTGGACGGTAGATGATCTAGAATACTCCAGGTGGGGTCGAGTACCCTTGGACGGTAAATGATCCAGAATACTCCAGGTGGGGTCGAGTACCCTTGGACGGTAAATGATCCAGAATACTCTAGGTGGGGTCGAGTACCCTTGGATGGTAAATGATCCAGAATACTCTAGGTGGGGTCGAGTACCCTTGGACGGTAAATGATCCAGAATACTCTAGGTGGGGCCGAGTACCCTTGGACGGTAAATGATCTTAAATACTCCAGGTTGGGTTGAGTGCCTTGGACGGTAAATGATCCTAAAACACTCGGTAGTACGAATCGAAGGTAGACTATAGCTTGTGAGCTAGGTAACCGGGAAAGGAGTGAGAAAAGTCAGGTAAGAACTTTATCTCTAAAAGACTCTTTAAGGTAAATGACCTACGGGTTGAGTATTTTACGAGTATATATACAGTATGTATCATCGGGTGGATGAGAGACATCTATATATATATATATATGTATCACCCTATTTTTGGGTCTCGTGTCTGAAACATTAGTTATTCTTCATATATCCTGCTTGTCACTAGTACTTCTATGGAGTACTGACCCCTCCGGGGGCCCTCACATTTTTCAGGTTGAGGCTAGAGTCCTACCACCTGCACCTTTGCCTAGGGTGATCCTTCGAGGAGGAAGACGTGGTTCGTGCTTCCATTCGTATTTTTGAAATCTATAAACTGCTCATGGATTTTTGAACAATGTTTTCATTAAAACAGTTGGGGGCCTGCGTGCCCGTGTTTGTCACGTGTGGCTAAGTATCAAACATATTATTATTTCCGCATCTGTTTGATTATGATATTGATGTTGATTGTATGTGTTTACTAATCGGTTTGACAATAGAATCAATCGGACGCCTTGTACAATTCAATAGGGATG